CTTAATCTTAATTTCTTCTTGTAAAGGTTAATCAATCATGGTTTAATTTTAGATTTCAGAGTGATGTGAAACACAGCAAATGAAGTGAGCTGCTCAACACTGTACCATGAACTGCACACATGTAAATGAACGGTGTTGCACGTCACACCATAGCACATACCTTTTCTCAGTGTTGTGTAGTTCCACAACATGCCTTCAGTTTAATGTTGCATTGAAAGTGTCTAGAAAAACATAAATGTAAGTAGCAATAGTATTGCTATACTTTTCTGTTCAAACTAAACTGTTAAAAAAGGGCTAAAATTGCGATCTAGCAACAGGCAGGACGGCATTTATTGTGGGTCTGTTTATGTTGCTGTGCTCATTTCTGCATAAATATCCATAAATCTTCAATAAATATTTTTTTCTATATCTTATAGTTTTGTTAATGGCTATGTATTCAGTTTGTGGGCCCAGGTCTGTCTGTTACCTTTTGATATTACTTTGTTTTTTTCTGATTTGCAGCTGACTGTAATTGTTGTCTGCAATTTGAAACTGATTGTAAACCCCATAGCTGTAAGTCTTTTGTTTACATTCACTGTCTGTCCACACCAAGCCATTACTCTCCTCTCACTCAGCCTCCCCCACTTTTTTGTTTGTATTGCTCACTCCTCCTTTCTTTATCTGCATTACCTTCCCCCCTTTTCGCTCATCCCCTCTCAGGCATTCTCGGTACGATGTGTTGCCAGGAGACAGGATTCTCTACCTATTATGAGTGCACAAAGGGGGTCTGCCATCACCAGCGCTGGGGCTCACGAGACCGGCGTGAGAGGGAGAGTTTGGAGGGGAATGGGAGTGTGGGAGATTAAAAAAATGGCGGACAGAGTGGAGAGTGTTGAACTTGTGGTGGGCTTTGGCCTCATTCTAGTTGGTCTAATTGCTTTCTTTTAAACCTCGAAGGATTTCTTGTCATGCTCAGCTGGTGGAGGTCAAGAGCAGCCAGGCAGAGATAGATATTCTTAGAAGTTAAAGTCCCCTTGAACCGGAAGTTACAAACAACTTTTCTCCAGTGTTGTGACGTATTTTCAAGTGAAACGGAATATTGAATAGAGGGCTGGGTTTTACTTTAGCCTCCTCGTCTCCTTCTCTCGCTCATAGCAAACTAATGGGGGAGCTGCCACGTCTTTTTAAAAATGAATGAAATGCACAGATAAATCATTTATAATAAACACTACAATATTACATATAAAAATACGAATTGAAAAATTTTATTTCATGGCGACTTTAAGGCCCCCTTACTCGAGAGTCTAGACCTCTACGCTTGGCGTTCCTTACACTTGAGATACGACTCTGTGCCTGTGCAGGACCTGCTCATGTGACCACATGTGTATTTTGAACTTGAGATTCTGTGATATCCCATGTAGTTTTAGTAGCATCAGCTTTACCGTATCTGTTGTTTATGTGGAGTAGTATTACATATGTTTCTGCCCAGACAGCAGATCCTGAGTCTGTTCTTGATTTAATATCTCCTGTCTTTTCCTTAATCTTTAAGACTTTTTTCATGCAGGCATGGACTATTCTGTTTCCATTTCTACAGTGATGCATGATCCCCACAATGTAGCAAGTCTTGAATTTTGTCTCTTTTTAAAATGGGCAGCCATTTGTTCTGCTTCAAACTGATTGGGAAATTTATGTTTAAATGTGTAATTTTAATATTAAAGAATTTTATTTGGTGGTGGTGACACTTTGTTCTTGTTTTGTGGCAGTCAAAATGGTGCCCAATAATGTGAAAACGAACAATGAATTTTTGTACGTCACGTGTCATTGATTTATTTTGATGTGAGGATGTTGATGTTAGAAAACCTTCAGCTTGCATTTTAATTGAGTGTTGGTTTCACTCACCCTTTTACCCAGTGGAGATAATCTAGTAGCTCAGCACACTGAAATGAGTCTTATTCAATCACATTTTCCTTGCTGGTAATGAACCATTTGTGAAATGTCACTGCTAATGCTCTAACGTACTATAAAAAGACCATTACCTGGTCTTTACATGTTTTTTGTATGCATGATTAATGTGCCGTTTGGTGATTTAAAGATCAAATGCTGAATAAATGGTTATGATATTTAGAACGATTATACATCTGTTTGCTTGTTAAACATGCTGTTATGCATGTGTACATTACTTATGCAATGAAAATCACTTTTTTTGTTTGCAGCTAAAGCTATGCTTAGTTGATATTCAGCTCACCATTCTTGATCTGTATTCATGCTCTACTAATGGCCGATATTGATTACTGGCTTCCATCAGATAAGATAACTGTTATGTATTATTCCATTTGCATGATTAGAGTTGAGAGAAAAACGGTCATTGGGGTGATTTGATGTGTAGCAAAGCCCGTTTAGACTTTTGTCATTTTTGGTAATAAATTTGTACGTTCTTTAGTAATAGAATTTTATAGACGTACGAATCAAAAAATGGTGTAGTTGTGATTAGCATGGTAGTGGAGCTCAACACTACAGGCTTAACCAGATTTACGGCTCCAGGTGGAGAGAGTAGGCCTAGGTGATTGAATGAAGTCATGTCCTCCACACAGCCCTGATCTGTGCTTGAGAGCTGGCTATATTAATTAAAATGAAATGAAATGCAGCCTTCAGCCAGGGTCACCAAAGGATCCATTCGTTTAAAGAATGACTTTGATCACTGGAAAACGAGCATATATTACCGCTAATGGGGGATTTCTGGATGGCCCATGGCAGCAATATTAATTTGTTGACTTCAGTGCCACTTTTCATTTGAATTATTATTCCTTGTGCTATATACACATTTGTAATATTTTTCAATCCCACAAATCAGAGCGTTGGTGATACCCCTAGGGAAATTCGCCCTCTGTTTGGTGTGACATCTAACAATCCTCTCTTATATAATGCGGTGTAACACACCCTTTAGTTTCATTCTTTTTGTGTTGTGTGAAACGTCATTTTAAAATCCTGATTTACAACCAGTCCCCTGTTTGTGACTAAAGAGTAGAACATCATGGGTCTGATCTCAGGTTTATAGCTTGTGGCAACCTCTTCAACAGGGATGGGCAACTTCAATCGTGACAAGGGCCAACATTATTTCTTTCTTACATACCAAGTTACTAATTCCAGATTACTAATCTCACAACTTTTACAGTCTTACTCAATTGACTTTTTATTAAGTGATATCAATTTATAATGAATGCAATTTGTTTTTAAAGATTTGAACTACAAAACTGGTGAAATTATGCTAAACGAATGGGAAACTTAGTTGACAAGCAGTATTAGCCTAGCCCAAACAAATGAAAACATCTCAATTGCATTGTCTGTCTGTAAATTTGCAGCAACAAAATGTATATATGTCCTTTATAGATGTTTTTTTTTTTTTTTACAGTCCTAGAGAACATTCTCAAACTCAACCTCAAAGTTAAAAAAGTGCTTATTCAAAATTTTTATTTTTTATTTTATTCATTTTAGTGAACTTTCACATTAGCGTTCACAATCCTACGCTGTAATTAATACAGGGATCGGCTGGAAAAATAGTGACCTCTCCTGGTTTGATTTAGTTATCTGAACAAAGCTTTCCATTACCTGCCTTTCAAAATATTGTTTTAAAATTGATCATCCGAGTGGTCCAACAGGTTGCATTTAAAGACATTGTGGCCCGTATAAAAAAAGTTCTAAAGTTTCAGCTCTATATCACTGTGAACGTCTAAGGGCTGAGTCAACTGAAACTTTAGAAACATCCCACATGTACTTTACAATAACTTTTGGTCTTTTTCAGCATTCATCAAGATATTTTAGTTATTCATTGCTTTTTACATATTTAATATTTGTATTAATTTGTACGTATTTGTACGTATTTGTATATTATTAGTATTTATTTAATTTTACACTGTTAATTTTTAACCCATTTTGCTGTTTAGCCATGTAATGGGAATACCAACATCACATCCTTAGCTGAAGGTGACAACTGAGAATTTATGTAGAAATGTAGAATTTATTTGAGGTCATTCTTGACTAAAAAGAAATAGTGTTTACTATGTATCATCACATTTTTAAGAGAAGGTAAAAACTGTTGGCCAGTATGGATTTTTATGAAAAAAAAAGGCATTCATACAGGCAGATGCTTTATTTTTGAGGTTTGTCTGACTCTGAGCCCCCACCGGGTTCAGAACCCCACTGTTATCTGCTCTGTTAGTCGTCATTTACGGACTGATGTCCATTCCAAGAATAGATGATGATCTCTGATGTATTCATCTTGAGCCCTAATGAGGTCATGCAACATGCATATCTTCTCATACCACAGAAATCAGTCATTGAGCACATTTACATGCACACCAGTATGCTGATAACTCACAAAAATTAGCTTATTGAAATAATCTGTTGTCTGGGTGTATGCAAACCATTAACCCAACAAGACTATTAATAAATCAGTTTATTTCCTGGTATTGACGTCAAAACAAAATAATTTGCTGCTGCATGAGATTTCAAGAAAAGAGTTTGATCAAGTTTGCAATATATTTCCTCCTACCGTACTGCAATATGCTCTCTCTGTCTGGATGCACTTAAATTCACAGTAATGATGTTCCTGTCACACATTATACTGTACATGTGCACTTCAATAAGCTGACAGAAAGCAGGTTGATGCATTTACATGCTGGGCGAAATCAGTGTTGGGAGCAAAAATGTAGCGAAGACGATCGGTTCATGCTTAAGCCGTTCAGGATCATACTCTGATAAAAGAAAACTAGTTGACACATTTCCATGATTGCGAGTTTAAAGCACAATCTGTTTAAGAACATGCATGTAAAGACACTCATTGTCTAAGGATACTGCATTGCACGAGCTTTGAGTAATAATCCCGACAGTGATATCAAAACCATGCAATGATGTGAGACAATTTCTTATATTTATAGATGCAAGGGTGATGCATATGATTGGTTTTGGAAATAAGCTGCATCTATATTGTTGTTAAAAAGCATCATCTTTTTTGTTCTTCTCAGGCTCAGCCTGTGGACTACAGATCACATCCACTGGTCCTACATCCATTGAGAAAGCCAGCGGAGAGTCTGTGAAGCTGGACTGTCAGTTTACTCTTGCTACTGATGATTCTGGGCCTCTGGACATTGAGTGGAGCCTGCAGCCCTCCGACAACCAGAAAGAAGAGAAAGTGGTGAGTATCTCATAGCAATCACACTAAAGTTTCTCTAGTGGAAAGCATATTTGATGTCTCATTATTCAAAAGCCTCTGGGAGGTTTAGGTTTGACTTTGTCCCTTGTTCCCCATTTGCTGCTTTTCCTGTCACAAGTTCTTGTTTTCAGAAAAACAAGCTCACAAAACTAGTTTGACTGCCTCTGTTGTATAAAGCAGAACAGTAACATTCCTTCCAAGTTATGTGTTCATTGACATGAGCAGCTCATTATCTAACGATTTTAGTGTCCTACCCAAAGACCAGTTACAAACTATCATCAGCATCATACAAATAATAATTATATTTTATAATCCTATTAATATATATTCACAACATTTTTGGGCAAATTGTGCAGCCTTATAAACAAGTATTGTAACATGGAGCTTTTTCTCATACATCACAATTTGCTAATAGACAACCCTTGCTTTGATCTGCATCAAGCAGGTGCTGGTTTGTGTGTAGCACATCTGTCAGTAAGGGAAGTGCGGCACACCAGATTGGGTGTTTTATGAACACGTCCTGATGTTTTAGTGGTCTGTAAAGTTGTTCCCTGGATGGATATGTGTGTGGGTCCACATAAAGGGTCTGATGAATGTGCATTTTAGATTTATTGGATTTGGCAGCTCTTAGTTGATGTGGATTTGGCAGCTCTTAGTTGATGTTATGTATTGATGTTTTTGTTTGTATCTAAGTGATTATAGGTTCACTTCACTGTGAATTGTAGTCCGCAGAGGCACTGCTTTTTTTCTTGATCCACACAAATGCAATCTCTGTAATATAGACCTTAATGAGACCGTCCCTCACTTCTTTACAAAAGGCTGATTTCGGCTTAACATTGGGCTTGCAGGTAGAGTAAGCAGCCAGATATACTGCTTGTCTGCTGCAGCCCCTTCATGCAGAGATTACCTCATTCTCTTTCTCCCCAGAGATTATACATTTAGCTGGGGACAGAATTGGGTCAGGAGCCCTCAATGGTCGATCTCCCTTTGGTATCCTTGCACCTATCTTCCTCTCTCTCACATGCTCCCTACTCCATCTTTTTCCTTCTCAAAGCTCCTCAATTTCTTCTGTCATTTTACTTCTAATATTTCATTCTATTTTTATCGTTCTCCCTTTCCCCTCACACTTCTGTTCCCCTCAATTGCTCAGTTTGCTGTTTGCTGGGTCGTCCTCATGGGTATAGACCTGCACTCTTCCCCCTCTGTTCTGCCAGGCTTTGTCCCAGGACTTGAGATTCGTCTTTGACCCACTTCATCGTTTTTAATGGTTTATAAAAAGTTGAAGGTTGAATGTGGACTAGGTCCATGTTTTTTGTATTTTTGGAGAAAGTTCTAACAGTTATTATTGTGCCCCACTTACTTTGTAATAAAGTGTCTACATATTCACACTTTTCCAGATCATTTATATAGCTGGGCTTGTAATGGCAAATATGCCCTGTATAAATTAGTATTGTTAGCGAGCACACCATAGTTACATGTTTATTTCGAAACATAATTAACCAAGGGTCCCAAAACCCTTCAAACAAATCATTTTACTAAACAGAAGATCTACTTACTGGTGTAAATGACACAATCAAAGTACATAAAATAAACAAATAATATCATGGTTGATGATTGATGATCTTCCAGAGCTGTTTCAGCTGTGCGCTCTTATTCTATGGCGCATGGTATAGAGTGAAAGAAACCAATCCAAGCATGCTCCAGCTGTAAAACCATGTTTGATTGGGTTCCACACATCATCCCTGTGTGTGTGTGTTATTCATAAACATCAAAAACATCTTGCCAACTTTGCCAACCCCAAAGTTTTGAACAGTAGTGCATGTGTGTACTAAATTAGTTAAAACAAAATAAAGGGGAGTTACAGATAAATACCAACTGATTGCCAAGTGTTTTGGTCCATCTTAGACATTTCCTCTTTTTTTTTTATTTCTCACTTTTTAGTCCAAGATACAATAAAAGGCCTTGACACTACACAAACACACAAGGAAAATGTATACAGGAGAAAACATCTTCCTTCAAAACTTTTTTGGTGCCAGAACTAAAACAATGAATTAACCTTGAATGCAGAACCTAATTTCCAATGATTGTATTCATTGTGAAGGTCTTTGGGACACAGTGAAGTGTGAATGATTCTCTTGTTTGCGGGACGCTGCTGACGAGTTGACGAAATCCATACAAAACTGCATTGGTCATTAGCGTTTGCATTATAGTGAGGAATGGATGGGAAATGGGGGTGACACTCAGGGTACATGCACTGTAGTTCCATAATCTCTTACGCTGCACCTGCAATTGCACAATAGTCCTGCTGTGATTGAGCCTGAGAGTGACAATGGGAATGCAAAACAAAAGGATTGTTTAGAAAATAGAAGTAAACAAGCAATATTTTTACATGTATAAAAAGATGTTGTTTTAAATTACCCCAGATGCTGTTTTTGTATTCTTTGGAAATTTTGTATTTTCATATCTGTATATGTGTGAGTCAGAGAAAGTTTCTAGTTACTTACAACGGTTGAAATCAGCATGTATTGTCACTTGAGTAGTTTGAATTATGACACACACTACCATTCAAAACTTTGGGGTCAGTAAGGTTATTTTTGTTTTTGAAATATGCTCACCAAGGCTGCATTTATTTAATGAAAAATAAAGAAAAAACAATGTAGTATTGTAGTAATATTTCACAAATTAAAATAACTTTTCTATTTTAAAATTAATAAATTTAATACATTTTAAAATTTATGTGAATTTTTTCAGCCTCCATTACTCTAGTTTTCAGTGTCAAATTATCCTTCCAAAATCATCGTGGTATACAGATTTGAAGAAACATTTCTTATCAATTCTAAAAACAGTTTTGCTGGTTGATATTTCTGAGGAAACCTTGATCCTTCCTGATGTTAGTTAATTATTTATTAAAAACTTATGTTTATTTAAAAATGCATGTTAATTTTAAAGCAGCCTACTTCAGTGTGATATGTTAACATCATCATGTTTAACACTGAGATTTTGAATAATTTTAATGTGATGATGAGATGCAGATATCTAAATCAAAGATAAGTTTGCAAAGACAAAACAATTTTCTTTTATAGCAGGAATGTGCATTTTAAGGAAGTTAAATAATCAGGGTAATTAAAATAGGGTCTTAAATGGGGTATTTTATTGTACTGTTTGATTCTCAATCAATCTATCTGTATCTGTGTTTCCCAATTGTGTTTCCCAAATGTAAGGGCTGTGATAATTGGTGCATGCTAGTTCCAGGTAGCATGCGGGTCAGAGCAGCATCTGTGGTTGTGCAGTGAAGTGTAGACACTGATGTAGACAGGCAGGCCTACAGAAACTGCCCGGGTTATAAAGCAGAGTGATCTCTAACACAGGTGACTCAGTGCTGCTTTGCATTTCAAACAAGCCTGATGTGGCCCTAGAGGAAGTGCACCTACCTAAAGGCATACACACACACTCAAGTGTAAACAGATACACAAGTTCAACACAAGTCACAATGTCCTTGAAGACTTGACTCATAAATAACGGTGAAACTGCATACTGACCCCCACATAGCAAGACTACATTTTTCCCACATAGTAAGACTAAGTTGTGATGAAATTGAAGGAGCAACAGATCTTTTCTTCTAATATTGTGAGTGACGTACACCCGAGTATAAGATTATCAAAAAGGGAAGAAAAAAAATTAAAGAAAAAAAAATTGAGATGTGGGCTTATCACTCAAAAATGAATGAGTTTCGCTGTAAGATCAATAATGTGAATTTACAAAATAGTTTTTTTCTACTTTAAAGGCTAGGCTAAAGATCTATGTTTAATCATTGGTTTCCTTCTCTTATTTGATTAGACAGCTCATTCCATAGTTGGATGATAAAAAATACATTATGATAAAAATCTTAAATTAATTCCTTGTCCCTGATTGCTATCTTTTATCTTTTGGTCTGTTTTAGACATTTTTGAACTGTTTGAACTGTAGACTGTTTGGCTTTTTGAATTGAAGTATGTTATATAGTACCTGTATGTTGCTCCAGGCAGTTTTCCTTATCCTCTTTTTATTACATTTTAGTTATTAGACATGGAGTGTTTTACAGATGTTGCTGGATGTTTCCTTGAAGTCCTGTGGGCAGACTCCATGTGACATGTATTAGGCCTGCTTACTAAGTGATCATTTGGACAAGATGCTCGTAGATTCTGCAGATGTTTGAATGTGAAAGGAAGAATGAGGTTGAGGTCCCCCTCCCCCCCTTTTTTATCCTCTCCTCCTTGCCCATGTGCTGAATATTGACTGATACATTCATTAGGATTCTGAGTGTCTCCGTGCTCTTGTTCCATTGCCCTGAGGTGCATTCTCGGGTCTTCTGAGCTTGATGCAAGACACTATGGAAGGCCGTCGTCACCTCTACAGCATCATGGAAATGAAGTGGTGGTGATGGGGAGAATTGAATGAATCCCATATTTGTGTTTGTTTGTACAATGTGTCTTTAAGCCAGAAACAGACCGGTGCTGTCTCTTCTTACGTTGCTTTTTAAGACAAGCATTTATTGATGATTAACTCATATATTGATGATTTTTACACCGTATATTTTTTTACATTGCAAGACAATGTTATTGGCCTATTCATTTGTTTGTTCCAGTTAATTTGATAAGGAGTCATTTCATGGTGCCCAATTTAAGTGTTACCAGCTAAATGAGACATACTGAGAGTGTATAATTAAGTTTGCTTGAGTAAAAACAAAAGGCTACAATTCAGATAGTTTATGTGGGGAATAAACTTACTTAAACCAGTTACATCCGGTGCTGCGTCAGAAGCCGGTTTTGCATTAGGTAGCGATAGTGTCAAATTACACTTGCTGTTTATTAAATCGTCCTGCGGTTAACGTGAATGATGTTAACAACACTGAGGCAGTTAGCTGTCACACAAGAGTAAAAAAGAAGTTATTTGAAATTATATATATCGAGCTACATCAACAACTTTGAGGGTTAGTATTCTCTCATATCATACGAAATCCAACTAGCGAATCAGCGTTTCTAAAATCGTTGTCTCCGATTCTAGAAAACTGATTTTATTAAAGTTTTGGCGCTATATACTTTGCCTGCACAACGCGCTTGCTGAAGTTAAGAAGCTGTTTGAGATTCTTTCAGATACACGTCAGCAGGGTTCGTGCATAGAGCCTATTGGCGCTGATTGACGTCACCAATCGGGCGTTCATGTTTTTTCTCTGTCTATTTGAAAGTTAGGCTAATAAACATGTTGCATTCTATATGGCCTGATTATGTCATTTTATCACGTGGGCTATTGAAATTGTGTTTGAATTCACCCTCCCGTATTACTTTCGCTTTCGTGATCGCATGTACTCTGTGAATAGGGAGTGGCGGTGCTGAGCGCGCTTTCTAGTAGATAAGACATTTGTCTCTGTTGTGCAATGAATCCTTCACTATGGTCTTGTCTGTCATCTTGTTACTTACTCTCATCACATGATCTGTGAATTCTGATTCTTTCTGCAATACGTGTGACTGTGCAACTTGTTTCAGATGAGCTGGATGAAATCGAAGCGACCGTTATCCAACTGAATGAAATGGTTTTCATTTTTATATAAAAGCAAAATGACAGTGGAAGCGTAACCTAAACTTAGCGGTGGCATATTCTATCTTAACTTAACCCTCACACTTCTTCATGGCAATATCGTTAGATGTTTCACCTCATTGAGAAAACTCGTCACATTTTAATCTCGTGAGATCTCATGGCACGAGATCTCGTCTCACCCCTACTTGTGAAAGAAGCCGTTCATGTAGCCCAACAAGAACGCTTTAAGTTGTAGCATTGAAAGAGCAAATATTTCACTTGTGCTGAAGGATGTTTTTGAGATAAGGAGGTGCACTGTGTTTGTCTAACTGACTTTCAAAAGCAGAAAATTAGGCTGTGGTCTGAATCTTAACATTGGTTTGGCCTTTTACTGACACCTATACACTTTTTCCCACCCTGTATGTTTGAATTAAAATGTTGAGCAAAATGTTTAACAATAAGAGGTTCACTTACTAAAACATGATTCTCTTTTCTCATTTCTAATTTCTTCCCACAGGTGATTGTGTACTCTGGTGACAGGGCCTTTGAACACTATTATGAACCTCTTAAAGGGAGAGTCCACTTCAACTCCCCTGATCCTAAAAACGGTGATGCCTCCATGAACATCATGGGCCTGAAAGCCACAGATACGGGCACATATCAGTGCAAGGTGAAGAAGGTTCCTGGCATAAGCAGCAGGAAGTTCCTACTAACTGTCATGGGTGAGTAATAAATATAAGCTTGTAAATCTCTAACCTTATTTATTCAAAAATGCTTGACCTATTTGGCATTGTTTTGAAAAACACTCCTCATATTCCTTGTATTTTTTTCTTCTGGAAGGTGAGCTATAAAACATAAGGGAAAGTCCTGAGTGACAAAGTATTGATCTGGACTATAAATGCACAAAATAAAGTTTGATTTCACAGGCCTTCTGACATGCCTTGGTTCAAGGTCTGCATCGATCGCTGTCAACAGCAAATGTGACATCAGTGCTACTTCATGTGTGAAAAATCACCTGTTACTTGTGTTGACTAGTGCAGGGACGGAAACACCCTAGGCAAACATGTTCTTGCCAAACAAGGCCATCAGAAGCAACTCCCCAAACAAGATGACGAAAGTGGCGTCACTTCCCGAAACTCGATAACCACATGACCGAGATGTGTATTTGCATTACGGATGCATGAATGGCAGTAGCTGTAAGATGGAAAAAGAAACAGGAAAAACAAGAATTTATACTGAGATCTGAATACTGAAATCCTTAAAATGACCATTCTTTTAGTGAATTGTCTGGTGTCTTATAATTTGTCCAAAAGTTTGAGGTATAATTTAAAAAAAGAAAATGTATTCAGCAAGGATGCATTCGATTGGTCTATTTCAAATAAATGCTTCTGTTTATACACATACAATATTAGGATTTCTCAGAAATATTAAGCAATACAACGCTGATAATAAGAAATGTTTCTTAAAGGGATACTCCACCCAAAAATAAAAATTCTGTCATAATTTACTCACCCTCAAGTTGTAGCAAACCTGTATTTGTTTCTTTCTTCGGCTGAACACAAAGGAAGATATTTTAAAGAATGATTGGAACTTTGGCACCATTGACTTCTATAGTAGAAAAAAATAAAACTATGGAAGTCAATGGTGCCAAACAACTGTTTGGTTCCAATCGTTCTTAAAAATATCTTCCTTTGTGTTCAGCCGAAGAAAGAAACAAATACAGGTTTGCAACAACATGAGGGTGAGTAAATGATGACAGAAGTTTCATTTTTGGGTGGAGTATCCATTTAAGGACCAAATCAGAATTATTTATGAAGTATTGTGTGATACATGGCAGCTTTGCCATCACATAAAATAAATAAAATGTTTTAAAATGTATTACTGTTTTTACTGTATTTTTGATCAAATAAATATAGCATTGATGAGAACAAGAGACATCTCTCAAAACAGATTAAAAAATTAGCGAAAGCGTAGCAGTTGTTTGACTTGAGTGTCAAGGACTGTTTGGCAAGAGCCGACCTGGCGATTGGAGGTGGATCATTATTAGACAGATGGAAGGACACAGATTGGTCGTGCTCTCAGCAGTTGATGAATGCAGCTGTTCTTTCTTCGCCTGTTCCCTTCATTGTCCACCCTCATCCTATCGCTGATGACCGCGGGGACTCTGTACCTGCATTCAGAGCAGATGCTGTCTGGCTGCGTGCGTGTGTTCCTTACTAAATGCGTCTTCGTCAGAGATAGCAGTCCAAGGGCATTCACTTGAAGGGGCTGTATGCCACCTCAGAGAGGCATTGCTCTGCTCTGTTTGAAGACATCTGCCCTGTGTTATTTAAATACTAATGTATTTATTTTGAATGGTCTTTACTTTATTAATTTTAGTAATTTTCTGTGCTTTGTCATTATTGTTATTTTCATTTAATTTTATATTTAGTTTATCACTTTACATATTAAAAAAAATCAGTTTTAGTACTTTTAGTCTTTTATTTCAGTTAGTGCCAACATTTCAAATTTTTTCAAAACCATCATTAAGTGGTTGCTCATCACAATAGAAAGTTATTTATGGGTGTAGTGTGTGTTGGATTTGCTCATTGGAATGATTTAAAGTTAAACAACTCATTTCACATATTGAAACAACAGTGCGGCTCATTCCAAGATTAATAATCATTTTGTTGATGCCATCAACGCTTCAAGTTGAGAACTTCCAAAAGGAACTTTCTAGTGTTCAAGGTGGAAAATGAAAAATCTGTCCCTTCCCAGACAGCAAAAAAATAGAAATGCTTGACCTTTTTCTTTTCATGCTTTTATGCGTCTGGAGTGTTATCAGGCAGTTTGACTTTTTCGTTCTTGTTTTTCTTCTCGCCTTTTTGCCCAGTCGAGTGTGATCAACTTAGAATACTGACACGCTTGCCTTGATCTCACAAGCTATAAAACAATTTCACCTTATTGAAAGTAATGTCTAATAATAATTGTCTTTCTCACAGAAGCAGATCCAGGTCATTAGTATAGCTGTGTGTCTGTTGGTTTAAGCAACTGCATTGGATTATCAATCTACACCTTGATTTCTGGTCTGTCCATCACCACACATTTAAATTCTCCATCAGGGGAAGCTGCTGTGCTCTGACCCCTCATCCTATTAAATTGCTGTTCCTGCCTGCTGTTAATCCTCAGGTCTCTAAGCCTCTGTCCCAGCAGCCCCAGAGATCTGTTTTTACAGCTTCTATTATCAAACGATGATGTCAATGCTCAAATGCCAGCGCCCTGCCCAAGGTTGGGAGGATTCACAAAGAGCAACTATTGACATTCTTCTGTCTGTCTTTCCCTCTAACTCTCTCTTTCGTTGTCTCTTTGCCCTCCTTACATGGGTCTCTGTTTCGGTCTCCTGGTTTTAATTTGGAGTTTTGTTTGCCTTTGAATTCTTAAGTCATCTCCTGCCAAGCGAGGAGGGGGTCTGTTTGTGCAGGCTTTAGTTTCTACACAGATCTCCCTATGTTCTCCACCCCTTCCCCCATCCAATCTTTCACTATCTTTCCACATCTCTTCCTATCACTCCCTCCCTTAATTACATAGATTTCACCCACTTTTTCCCTTAAACCTGCTGTTTTTAATGCATATCTCTTAACACACATGCTGGCTGGCTGTCTGTCTGCCAGCCCCTTTCCCACTCTCTCCTTCTGGTTTTGTTTGCGCTTTTATCTCAAAGAATGTTGACACCCACTGCGCTCTGATTTTAATTAAGTTGATTGGCAGCACCTGTAATAGCAGCATCTGTATCCATTACCCTGATCATGGCTTCCAGTTCCTATGCTTTGATTAGTTATGATGCAGTGAGAGAATGCATATGGGTGGAGTGAGAGAAGGGCCTCAGGGACTTGTCCTTTACATTTGTGATGACATTTGCACTATATATGAAGCAGAAGGTGATATTTCTGCCTTTAGCTGGTCAGATTGGAATGGTAATATTTTCCTTTTTGAGATATAATTGTCTACACATGCAGTCTCATGTATAAAGGTCATACATACTGTGTAATTCTGTGCATAAGACTCGTAATTCACTCTTTGTACAAGTTCTGTATGTTTAGAAATCTTATTTAGCAGGATATCATTGTTATCATTAAATAATGCTTTGTCTTTGATTGTTTCATGCATTAACTAAAAGGTTTTTCAAATAATTTGCAAAAAGAAATAAATTCTATAGTATTGTTGTTACATTTATTATTATTGTTAATATATAATTAATAAGTTGGTGATATTATTTGTTAACTTGATATTATTAACTATTATTATTATTATTCACAATATTATTTTATTATTCATCATGTGTTTTAAGTTATTTAAATTGCTGCCTGTCAAGTCTGTACACTGTCATGTGGAAAATTTGCAATGTAACCTTTAGAAATGAGACCCCCGTTATTAGTAGTTTTGTTTTAGTGTTTCTAACTTTCTCTCCTTCTTTTTTCCTTTCCCTCAGTGCGTCCTTCTAAACCCAGATGTTATGCAGAGGGTCAAACTCAGGTGGGGAAAGACATGATGTTGAGGTGTAGCTCTGTGGAGGGCACACAGCCGTTGCAGTACTTCTGGGAGAGAACCACAGGCAATAAACTAATGCCACCACTGGCAGTCCTCGGTAAGTTCCTTTTACTTGTGTACCCTGATAGAAGTTTTTTATAGAGATCTGATAAACCGTCATAACTGGTGCCATCAGGTGCCGCAGTTAAAATGAAGAATCTGTCTCCTGCTGTGCACAGATCCAGTCGGGGGCACCATGAGTCTGAGGAATGCCACTGAGGCAGCTTCAGGAACGTACCGATGCCTTGCAAAAAATCGTGTTGGAACGGAGGAGTGTATGGTGGAGGTCAATGTCATACAACGTAAGTCTTCAAAAATCTGATTTAAACATTCAAGTAGCTGAGTAAATAGCAAAATAGCTGAGTTTCAAACTCCATCTAAGGTGCTTCTTCATCTTGTCTTTCCCTTATTTATCTGCTGCTGTAAGGTCAATTTTTGTATCTAGAATCAAGGACCCCATCGAAAACGAAATGGCTCATCTTAAGGGCCTATTTCTCTTTAATAAAAATGTCAATATATCTGATCTATAGTATTGTGAATGGGCTTATCATTTATACTCTAAACCTGTGCATCTCAATAACAATCTATCTTTCCCTTTGCAGCCCCTAACACAGCCGGTGTCATCGCAGCTGCAGTAATCTGTGTTCTGCTGCTTCTCATTCTTCTCGCCCTCATCGTCTTTTGCTGCTGCCGTGCCCGCCAAAAGAAGAAGTACGAGAAGGAGATCGCCTATGAGATCAGGTACTACACACACTCTTGGCAAAAATGTCCTAAACAGTTAATAAATGGGTTGGCGCGTATGGTTGGGTTGCGTGAGATTGTGGTTAGGTCTCTGTACGGGTCAGTAAGCTGGGCTAAGTTGAGTGGGGGATAGAGGGGGGTGACTCTGGGACGCCAGGGTCACTGTTCAGCCCCTTGAGGTGTCGTGGGCTAGTCGATGAAACACTGAGGATGCAAGGTGCCCACTTGAAGACCCTAGAGATGTCCCCTACTCGGCTCAATCCAGACGGTTGTCATGGTGGTCCACTAGGGAGACCACACTGTAGTTGCAGCCCTCGTGTGTGCTGACGCAGCAAGTACACTGCAGCCGTTAACGCCGGACAGAAGGGGAGTCACACCACCATATGGAAAGCAGCGTAAATGGATGGAGAAGCATAGTTTACTGTAAAGCAACGTCTTAGCTTACCTTGGCGAAAGCCAAGTATAAATCAGCATGAAGTTTTAACATCTACTCTCGTGTAATGGAAATCAACCTTTTCCCACAAGACCCCAGAAAAAGAAAAAAAAACTGTTTTTTCAAACTGACTTGTCTGGAGCCTTCAATCTAATAATGAAAGGAACAAAAATGGTATAGAAAGGTAGCTCTTGGCCCAGTTGCCATTTGGTACGTGTCACTGTCCCTATGTCTGTTTGATTCACGCAGCCTTTATTCAATCGCAGGCCTCCCCCGCATTTACTGATGACCAAACAAAGCTGATGGCCAGTGAAACTGGCTAGCGGTGCGATCACCCTTCCCCTCTCACCCCTTTTCTCTTCAAACGAAAGGCTGGTGTAATCAGTTCTGTGCGTTTGTTTGTTCAGTCGATTCCTGTTCTGTCAATGCCTCTCCCCTCTGTCCCTCTCTCGCTCCCCCGGCCTATTGAAATGGCATTCCTCACTGTGAAGGGGCAGGCTGTGGGTCAGGCCCTTTATTAGGCCCCCCTTGGACCCCAGAGCTGGACTCTCTGTCTGGGAGACTTGCGCTGCGTCACTCAGGCCATGACAAAAGAGGATTATCCAAATAAGCCAGTTTCTCTTAGCGGAGACCCCGCTGTTTCTCTCTTTTGCTGTGTTCTCTGCTGTAATGGATTATTGCTGCTGATTACTTGTTAATTTGGAGGTGGAAGAGCAGGGCCTGATGGGCTACACTGGAAATTCGTCCATAGTTTTATTTAGCCAATCTGAGGCCAAAGCAGCAAAACAAGCCAAACTATTCTTGACTCAGCTGCTATTCGAGCCTCATTGTGCCCCATGCCTGCCTCCGTTAAAGTTTGATTCTACCGCAGGATGAGATGTTTCGTTTGACTTGACTGGTCCACAATGTTCCTTCCAACCTTTTCTCCGGGATATCATTTATTTAGATTTTAGTTTTAGTTGTATTCATTTATTTTGCATTAATGATTTATTTATTTATTACATTTTTTTATATCTTTTATTCAACAAAGACTTCAAATTAAAGGAATACATTTTACATTGTTACAATATTTTGCAATATTACTGTTTATAACTGTATGTTTCATCAAATAAATGCATCCTTGGTGAGCATAAGGTATTACTGACCCCAAACTTTGTGCATAATCTTAATGTTTAAAAACACTTCTGTCTGTGAAATCAGACTCAACCAACAAAGTCATGTGATCTAACCGACATGAGGAAAGAAACAAAAAAATGAAAACAGGCAATTATATCATAGAGGGAATCCTGATTTGATGTCAGATAAATTTGACCTTTGGTGTTTATTATTATTATATATTTTTATTGAGGTAAGATCAGTTCTTTCAATCTTGTTTTTAAGAAATCTCCCTGACAGGTTTGATTGAACACTTTTTTTTTCTTTCCTTCCCACAGAGAGGATGTCCCCCCTCCAAAGAGTCGTGTTTCTACCGCGCGCAGTTTCACCAGTGTGGGCAGCCAGCGCTCCTCTCTGGGCTCCATGTCTCCTTCCAACCTGCATGAGTACACCAAGCCTTCGTACGACAAAATACCCTCTGAAGAGTACGAGAGGCCCCCTAGCCATGCCCCTATTCCCCCACCCAGCAGAATGGCCGGTCCCAACCTCAGCCGCATGGGGGCCATTCCCGTCATGATCCCTGCCCAGAACAGGGATGGGTCTATTGTGTAAAGTTGATCTGGGATCAGTCTCTGCACATTTTGACTGTCACTATTCTATCCATTGTTCTACCGGAATTTGTGAAGGAGCAAATGAAGGTCTCTGCAGAGAGATCAAAGTGAGCTGAAATCCGATTAAATCAAATTTGACTTCCAGAACTTTAACAAACATTCACAAAAAACTTTATTCAACGGGATGCGGAAAGGTGATTGGTATGCCTGCTCCTGTTTTGTAAATAATGCAGTGCATGATGTTTTTTTTTTTCTTTTTAATTAGAAGGCCCTGTCTGATGTAAGGCACTTGAATTGTGTGCCTATTAAGTGTTCTCCAGAGATAAAATGAACCCAAAATCAAACTAAATTAAATGTATGTGGTACAACTCCATTTTTTTTTATCAGTTTGAAAAATTTTAAGGCAACTTAAACCATTTATCTATGACAATTATTTCATCTTTATGCTCCAAAAAGACTGGCAAAGATTTACTCTATGGGAAGTATGTGGGTTGGCTTTTTTTTCTGGATGAGATTGTTTTAAAAAAAAGATTAAAGCGTTTGTTTGGATTGAAGATTATTTACATGCGATTTGTATATAACAATATGAAATAGATTTATCTGAAAATGAGCTAATACTGTGACTCCTAACCTCCTTGGCTTTTTTAATGAACCATTTGGCAGTTTTAAACCCCAATCGGTACATGTCAGAGGGATTAGTATACAAACCTCTGATTGGCTTGTGACCCACAAACCTCCACCTCCCCCTACATTGCAGCGTAGTGTTAGTCGTCAAAGTAAGATTAAAGGGTTTATTTGAAAAGATGCTTATGCTGGGTGGTAAAATACGGTTCATTGAGCAATCAGACTTGGGTAAGCAGCCACCACCACTTCTCTGCTCCAGCTAGGCCAGAAAAGCTGATCACAGATGTCTTTGATTAAAGAGCTGCATAATGCTCAAACTTTAACAAGCTATATTAATCCTAAACCTGCATTTGGCTTGGCCGTCAACACACCCCGCTTTAAAGCTAATTGTCATTTTGACGTGTTGTGCAGTTTTATCAGATGAAGGACATCTTATTGAAGGGTTTGTTTTACATCACATATTCAGTTTAAATCAATTGAATAATGTCCATTTAAACAGATGATCATCCATAGATTTATAATAGATTCTTTTTTTATATTAATAGTGCATTGATTAGGATTTAGTATGAATATGATTTCTTAACATCGCATCTACCATAATCTTTACCTGTCATGAAGAAACATTACAGTCCTCACGGTGTGGATTACTTTATATTTTATCCCGCAGGGTCATCCTAATGTTCACTCTGTGCCTTTTTTAACTTTGGGTTTAATGAACTAGTGTATCACACAATGAGTAGGTCCACATCAGCAGTAGAAGGTAAATAATACATGAACAATTACAAAACTATCTTCAGTTGAAGTACAAATTGATTTGTGGTGAGTGGCAATGCACAATCTAACGCTATATGATTTGTTGCCAGTCTCTGTGCAACAAATATTACTCGATATATTGATATATGTATACTGAACTTTTTCTCTGAAATGCTGGTTTTGGTCTCATGGGAGAGTATTGTGTATGCTGACAACTATACACTTGTCTGTGTCTGTCTGTTGTATACAGAAGCAGCCTTTTCACAATCTGCTTGTCTTTTAGCCAGGGTTGAATGTGTAAATATATTTACTGTAAATGTTGGGTGCGATTGATTGCGTTTGTCTTTAAGTCTGTACTATGTTACCGCTTGGGTATAGGCTGCAAGTGTGATGAAGGACATGAGGGTGATCAGGCTAATCATCCACCATCTGGATAAGGTATTATTAACATTTATTATACACATTTTGTCATTATCTGAAAACACACACACTCGTGATTTCCCTGGGCTTTTATTTATTAAGCCTCTAAGAATTGGGTTGCTGTTACAGGATCAGTTTAGCTTGTGTAAACGTAGAGACTAATGCCAGTGTAAACACAGAAATCTGATCCTTCATCAGTAAACCTTTACCTGCTAGCTCTGCAAATCAGATTCTTGGTACCGAAGGATCTGTTTGGATGGGGCCCGTTTGATATTTCATAAAAGTAGAGGTTAGGCCGGTTCTCTGTACAGTGCCATTTGAAGAGATAGGAAACTCTCCTTACTAATAAGAGACAACCAATGATATTAACTGTAGATTTTGTTTTTCTTTTAAAATACTGTGTACTAATATTACAAAACTTTTTATTCTCTTCCTCTTTGTTTGGGTTGCACATCATGTAAAAACCTCATTTGATTTTTTTTTGTGCTTTTTGTGATGTTTTTTTTTTTTTTAAATAAAAATGAAAGCTATTATTCTACACACGTTTTCTGAGATATTCACTCATTCCCTCCTCTGCATCCTGCTCTCTGCAGGCTACCGGCAATGCTGTCGCTTTTCAGAGTGATTAATTTTAATCTCCTGTTGATTTCCACCTCTAACTCCAGGTGAGGCCATTCTCTCGCCGCCTAATGACCACAATTAATCAATGACTCGCAAAAGCACCGGAGGCTTCGCTGACCGAGAGCAACAGAACTTGAAGCGATGGCTGTTTCTGTGCAAGTGAAACGCTCCTGCAGCTCAATGCATGTGCAGTGATGCCCTTGAGGGTGCTTCATAAAACACGCTCCCGGAATCAGTCAGCCAAGTCATTGCAAATAACTAATTTGTACCGCAAGCTCAGCCATTGTACCAGTTTAAGAGAGGTGAATCAAAGTGTAACAATGGGTGATGAATTGCTTCGATTAGGCTAGGGTTAAATAATTTTTGATTTAAATGTAAAGATTTAAAGGAGTAGTTCACTTTAAAAAAAAAAAAACTTTTGCTGATAATTTACACACCCCCATGTCATCCACGACGTCCATGTGTTTCTTTCTTCTGTAGAAAAATTAAGGTTTTTGATGAAAACATTCCAGGATTTTCTCCATATAATGGACTTCAATGGGAATCAAACGGTTCAAGGTCCGAATGAAAGTTTCAATGCATCTTCAAAGGGCTTTAAACGACACCAGACGACGAATAAGGGTCTTATCAACGATCGGCCATTTAAAAAAAAAAGTTTAAGTTTTATAAGCACAAATGCTCGCCTTGCTCTGTTCTGTGATGAGCGTTCGTGACTCTCCTGTTCAAACTCGTTTAAAATAAACAAATCTTTTTCCGAGTCATGACTCGAAGGGTCCTAGATAAGACCCTTATTCATCGACTGGTGTCTTTTAAAGCCCTTTGAAGCTGCACTGAAACTCTCATATGGACCTTGAACCTTTTGGTTCCCATTGAAGTCCATTATATGGAGAAAATCCTGGAATGTTTTCAACAAGTGAATAATACCCTTTAGTATATATTGGTTAAAAAAAAGTGCTTTTCGTTTTGCAAATCTGAAATCTGATAGTGCTGCAATTGGAAATTTTTGTTGGCCAACCCAGAAGTTAATATCACCTTAATCACCTCGACAAAAACCCTATTAGGATTTTTCAACTGGCTTTTGGATTACTTCAGAAAATAAGCTCTGTGACCAACAAAAGTTTATGATCCTTACACCTTATTTTCATGATCATAATGCTCAGCTTTTATGAATTTTGAAGCCTAAATATAATTTATAGAAGTAAAAAGCTAAACAGGATCTAGATGAACTACACCACAGTTTTATGACTTCAACATAACTATCACTAAGCATCTGACAACTCTTTCAGTCTTCGTTAATACATTTCCCCTGAACGTTTGAGTTTTCAAGAGTGTGCTAAACACAGTGAGGCAGTAAAAGTGGAGTAATGCATATAGAGGAGTTTACCTGTTCTGTGTCATGTTTAATCTTAATCTCTGTAGTCCCATTTAGACACTTGTCAGCAACCTTCCATTTCAAGACAAGTCAAATCTTAAAATACATCAGTAAAACCCCACTTTGTGATTTTATTTTTAATTTTGTAGAAGAAAATTTGAAAATACCTATATTTTGACTTTTTCACCACAGACCTTACACAAAATCCTGGGTTGTCTGAACCCAAATTTGGGTCGAATATGGACCAACCCAAATGTTGTGTTAAAAATGTAATTAAAAAATGTACCGCTGAAAGTAAAAGTTGAAGTTGGGTTAACATTTTAAATGTTATTTTTAACCCAACATTTGGGTTTGTCCATATTTGACCCAAATGTGGGTTGAGACAACAGACAACCCTAAAACCCTTTAAAAAACAAACAAACAAACAAAAAAAAAAAAAACATTGACTTCTGGAGTCCAGACGATGTAAACAGAAGTGTTAATGCTAACTCATTTCTGGGTTTTGGCCTACCAAAATTCCTCATCTTTGTAGTGTTCTGTTAAATTTAAGTATGTCACATTATATTTGATGTTAAAACAAGAACCAATGATGCACTGTATGATATGACATGTTTCTTAAACATGCACAAATTAGATTTTGATCAAATAACCTTTAAATTTAATCCTTTTTGTAATGCAAATCTATTATATGCTTCAGAAGATTTTAAAAACTTAAGTTGTTTGGACAACTTGAGAATTGTCATTTTGGAGCTCAGTCCACACTCAGTCCACATTTTATATATATTTAAATATATATTTGCCCATTTTAATTTATCCGGTAGTGACCATAGACTGTCAAAGGTAGTGACAAGAGGTGACGCACTGCCAAGATGGCGACGGCCGGCCCCGCCCACTTTAGGCTTCAAAAACGCTCTTCAGAAACCTATGGGTGACGTCACGGATACTACGTCCATATTTTTTTACAATTCCCCGTGAAAGGAAGGATACAAAATGGACACTTCGCGGCCTATCCTGCCCGATCCTACCCCATAAATCATTGCGCGGGTGACTACAGCATTATTTTATTTTTTTTTAAAATGGCGGCCAAGTGTAGGCTACTCTCGCACCGTTGATTGGCAGTAGCCTAGTAATACACCTGGTTGCGCAATTGGGAAATCCCACAAAGGCTACATGATGCGTCCTTCGAAGGCCGAATAGGTCCTTCGTGTTTTTAGCTAAGAATAAACTAAAAGAGTTACACAGTCACAGTATAGCTTTAACATTAGGCTATGGCAGGGTGAACGCAAGTTAACTATTGTTTTAATGTTTTATTTTTGGGATTTTACCTTCACACAGTGAATGTCTTCAACCTAACTTACCTTTAATAATCTTTTAATTTGAATGTTTTAATTGTTTGTTTTTCGCCCTTTTATAATGAAGGCCTTCAAGCTACCTTTAATATCTTTTTAATTTCTCAGGCTTTGAATGGTGGCATGATTAGTTACAACGCCAATGTCTATGGCTATAACTGAATGATCATAATGGCTTGCAGTTATATTTATCGATCAATGCATGTGTAACCAATCATAGACCACAGAAAACATTGATTCAACTGCAGAGCAATTCATTAATTGCTGAATCTCAGTATATTTTTTATTAAGGCAGTTCTGGATAGAATATTTTGCACTGTAAATATGTGGTTATTTCAGAGATGGCATGCTCAAACCATCAAAAGTCCTTTAAAGAGTACCGTAATGTAATTGTGTTAATGTAATCTCTTCCCCCGAGCTGATTTTAATTCCCAGAGTCAGTGATGTGTGCGGTTGAGTATTTTCAATGTCCACCTCTGCTTTTGTGTATAGAATCTACACATGGCATTAATCCCACACAATGCATCATTCTTATATAGCCCTGTTCCTCTTGTCCTTGAGCTGAAACCTGCTTTCAGTGAGATGAGGACATGTTAAACGTCCCACCTCGCATATATACACATACTCTTATTTTTCCTGCTGCAGAATGTATTAATTGTTTGCATATCACATGGAGAGCAGGTTGGAGGGAGGGTGTTGATTGCTGATTGGTTGGGTGCTGCATGTTTCCACGGTAACGTTATCTGGTTGTACACTGAGAGTAGAAGCATGGGAGAGGGGAGGATTTATCTTGCAAGCGTAATTCTCTGAGCCTTAACAACAGAAGCCTCTAAAGCGGCGGTGGTCTTGCTCAAGTGCTGCTTCACCCATTTCATAAAGTGGTAAAAACGTTATGGTCTTTTTGGAATACCTTTCTAGTCTTTGACTTAACTGACAGTACTCTGAATAAAGGATCGAAAATTCACATCTGATCCTGAAGAAAAAATGTTATAGGAAGGGATAGTCTAGGCCTGCGTTAGATTTAAATAAATTGGCCTGCTGTAAATGACCCACTACGAGGCCACATAACACGGTCTGGAATGCATCAGGTTTGGGAAGCAGATAACACAGATACTGGGCTTCTCTACATCTTCACACAGAGGAATGTGGTGTTGGGCAACCTGTTCATATGGTTTTAATCAAATGTATTAAACTCGCAGAGCACTCGCAAGTACTGTACAGTCAATCAATGCAGTTTTCCTGAATTAATAACTAATAATTAATGATTGGCATTTCTAGAAAACATTCTGGGCCATTTTTTGTGCAATCTAGACCTACATTCTTGAACTCGGACATTCTTAAGGAGATAGTCGAGTAAAAAAAAAAAAAAGAGAATGGTTGGCCTTTTCTTTTTGCTGGGAAATCTGTACAGATTTTTATAAAGTAAACATTAGAATTAAAATAGAAACATTAGACACTTTTGTTGTGTGATGTTTTTCATTTCCATATTTTTCATTTGAATTTTCCACGTGAAGACGATCCCATTGTCAAAACGATCCCCATTCACACACAACCGCGAAAACGACTAAAAACGCTGCATACTGCTGCCAGGTCATTGGATGCGATGAAACACTATAGACCGAACACGTGCATGACATCATCGTCTTCGCGTATTCCCGTTTTCAAAAACTTGCACTTCAAAACCTGTTTTCAAAAGTTTGCGTTTTCAAGGTTTTATGTTTCAGTTGAAAACGGTGTCGTGTTAACAGCCCCATAGCCACAGTGTTTAATGATGTCTTCATTTTGTCGTAGGGGCCTACTCATGGGGAAAAAGGTTGTCAACAAATATTTTTCGAAAACTAAATTGACTTAAACCATGAATAGTTTTGCAGTTCCAGGTTAGAATTTTTATTCACTCACCAGGTGCCAATATTTACTCACAAAATGTGTTTGTTTTTTTAACCCAGAGCTTTGGTTGCAATGAATTTTTCTCTGTGTCTAAGCACCGCTGGATTCCATTACAAGCAATCAGCACATACAGACGTTTAGCAGAGGCTTCAACAAGCAGGTAATGTTTCGTTGTGGGTGTTAGAGGGTCGAAGCAACGTGTTCTTTTTCCTCTCCTGTGGCCATATTGGGGTCATCTCCATTACCGCTGCCATGTCTGCTGTGTATCTGGGATGTAT